CTCTCTCTCATTTCATCGGCACCAACTGACTGTCTTGCAGTTCAGATCAGTTCTCACACTGCCAAGCACAGACTCACAGCTAAAGGACTCAGTCCCACAAGAACCCAACTTCACATACCAAGCACAAATATTGGGACCCTAGGCTGCCTGGCTGGATGACTGCAGCATTACCATGATAGCTCCTGGATCTGAAGCCTGCCAGAACCAATCAGAGACATCAGAGACATTTACACTTACAGGGAAGCAGCTAATAAAGGGTGTGGCTCAGAAATTAGCTCTTGGAGGGGAACTATTGTGAGATCTAGCTGGATGTGGAACTCCTGTGCCCATTTCCCAACCCTGGAGTGTGCTGTCTCCCTGCTCTCTACACTCACCAACCTGGAACTATATAAACCCTGGCCTATAGGGGCTAGCTATACAGGGATTTCATTCTATTAGGTAGCTGCTATTGGTGATAGAATTTAGTTTGCAGCCTTTCTCCATGGCTGGAAGTCAGGGCATGGAAATACAACCTTTCAGCTGCTTTTCAAGAGGCAAGCTGTCCTAGTCAGGGTTGCTGCTGCTGTGACGATACACCATGACCAAGGGGCAAGTTGGGGAGGAAAGAGTTTATTTGGCTTACACATCCAGAGTTGTCACAGTCCATTGTGAGAAGTCAAGACAGGAACTCAAACCTAGAGGCAGGATCTGATGCAGAAGCCATGGAGGGTGCTGCTTACTGACTTGCTCCCCATGGCTTGTTCAGCCTGCTTTCTTATAGAACCTGGGACCACCTGCTTAGGAATAAGATCATCTACAATAGGCTGGGCCCTCCATCATTGATCACTAACTAAGAAAATGCCCCAAAACTGGATCTTATGGAAGCATTTTCTCTTTTGAGTTGCCCTCCTCCTGAATGACTCTAGTTTGTGTCAAGCTAAGGTAACACTAACCAGGACAATTGACCCCTCCTCAACTTGACACACAAACATATCACTGTTAAGCTATAACCTGTCCTTTCTTGTTCATCCCCAAGGTCACACATGAATCGCAACATTACAATATGAGCATTCCAAATTTTAAAAGTTTTACAGTTTTTGAAAATTCAAACACTTAAAAATTCTATTCTTTTAAAATCCATGATCTTTGTAAATTTCCAAAATATTTTTAAATTTTAAAGTCTCTCAACTGTGGGCTCCTATAAAATAAAAATAAGTTAAATACTTTCTTACTTTGAGAGGGAAGGACCAGGGCAGAGTTACAGTCAAATCAAAGCAAACCTCAACTCTAACTGTCCGGTTTCTGGGATCCACTCACAGTCGTCTGGGCTCCTCCAAAGAGCTTGGGGCCACTTATCCTGCTCCTCCTTCTGGAGCACACACAGCTTGTCTTTCAGGCTCAGGCTGGACCCACTCCACTGATGCTGCTGCCCTTGGTGGCCATCCCACAGTACTGTCATCTCCAAAATGCCAGAGTGTGTGGCGACTGGGCTGCACTTTTACCAGCAGCCTCTCCTGGGCTTTCAGGGGCTCCAGCCCTGCCGCACAGTGCCATGCCTCCATTGCTCTCCATGACCCCTTCATGCTTTCAAAACCAGTACCACCTGGGTGACTCTACATCTTATCAAGTCTGGCTTCCAATGTGAGGTCAACCACAGCCACCTCTGGAACTCAGCTTCTGTGTGCTGACCCTGAGGAAACACTTCCCAGGAGATTTTCACCATATTGATGGTGGTCTCTTCTTAATCACTGCTAATTTCTCAGCTCCAACTGACCAGCATCAATTGTCCTGGCAAAGCAGAGGTTTCAGTGGTTCTGGTCTCTTGTTAATCACAGATGATTCTTCAGCCCCAGCTAATCAGAACCACAGATTTTCAACTCAAAATAGCAAATGGCCCTGATAGAGTCTTTAGGTGATTCTCCATCTTCCCCCTAGAACTTCACAAGCCAGGCCTCCATTGTCTGCATTGCTTTGAACATTCTTGTCTTCCAATGTCCCACAGAATAGTTCACCAAGCTTTGAACACTCAATGGCTTTTCTAGGCCAAAGTCCAAAGTCCTTCCATAATAGTCCCCAAAACAACATGGTCAGGGCTGTCACAGCAATACCCTACTCCTGGTACCAATTTCTGTTCTCTTTCGGGTTACTATTGCTGTGATGAAACACCATGACCAAAAGCAAGTTGTGGAGAAAGGGTTTCCTTGGCCTACACATCTAGAGTCACAGTCCATTGAGAGAAGCCAGGACAGGAACTCAAGCAGGGCAGGAACCTGGAGGCAGGAGCTGAAGCAGAGGCCATGGAGAGGGCTGCTTACTGGTTTGCTCTTCATGGCTTTCTCAGCCTGCTTTCTTATAGAACCCAGGACCAGTCCAAAGATGGCACCACCCACAATGTGCTGGGCCCTCCCACATCAATTGCTAATTAAGAAAATGTACTACAGCTGGATCGTACAGAGGCATTTTCTCATTTGGGTTGCCCTCCTTTCAAATGACTCTAGCTTGTGTTGAATTGACATAAAACTATCCAGGCCACTGGCCTTCCCCTCAGGAGGCTCTTCAGGGTCACAGCCAGAGGCATTTCACATGAGCATCCTATCCAGGGTATCCCAGGGATTTTATTGAGCTGGTAATAGGATGAGCAATGAAGACAGAGTAGATACTTTTATTATCAACATACTGCCACAGTGTTTGCAGTGGTAGTCTCCTGCCTCAAACAAACCTCTCAGCTCATGTGCACACCAGGCCCCAGGGGAGAACATGTCACTCTTACTGGGGAACTTGTGGCATGGAGGTCATTCTCCTCCTGGTACTACAACAGGCTGTCCTGTGTGGGCACAGTCCTCGTTCATGCCTTCTGGACCATAAAGATTGTGTATTGTGTGGTGTATATGTGTACACATGTGTGTGATGGTGTGTATGTAGGGGTCAGGGGCTAGGTGTTATTCCTCAGGATTCTGTCCACCATGTTTTGTTTTGCTTTTAATTTTGGGGATTTTATATTTTAATTTCCTTGAGAATTTCACACAAAGTATTTACTGTATTTACATCATTTTCACCCCTTCCAACTGTTCCGATGCTTGCCCCCTCTTCCCCCTCCCTCTCAAATTCATGATTTCTCATCAGCGTCACTTACTCTGACCTGGAGCCTCCAAATTCTTCCAGGTTGACAGACCCGCAAGCCCCAGGATCCTCCTGTGTCTGCCTCCTTGGTGCTGGAATTTTGAGTGTGTACCACCATATCTGTTTGTTTGTTTGTTTGTTTGTTTGTTTGTTTGTTTGTTTGTTTGAGTTCTGGGGACCAAACTCAGGTCCTCTGCTTGCAAGGCAGACACTGTACAGTGCTATCTGCCCAGGCCTGTGCTGTAAAGCTCTCCAGTGTCCAGCCAGGCTTCCCTTGTCCAGCCTACCACCTTTCAGGAGCCCTACTGGACACAGCAGAACAGTGAGGCCTTTGAAACCCCAGGTGGAACAGGTGTTACCCCCATCTGCTGTAATTTCCTGGCTCTGTTGTTATTTCCTCCACAACATTGTGAGGCATGAAATAGGTCAGGGCCATTAACATTAGGCTAGAATTTCCAAATTGTACAAAATACCCAAAATAATCAGTGTGGAAAACAAACGTAATCTAAAAATCAAAGCCACGTTGACTCCCAAGAACACTCCTCTGGATGCCAGCAGCATGGGATTTCCTCGCTTTGATTTGCCGTTTTTTTCTCTTCTGCTGTTTTCCTCTGTGCTTGCTAAAAGCTCAGAGCTGCCCAGACTTTGATGGATCCCGGGCAGCAGAAGACCCTTTGCTTCTGAACACAGACCCCGGTGCTCCTGCCTACTTCAAGCGCAATTAAAACGACTGAAATGTTTCATTTGAAATTTCTTTCTCACACTTCAAAGCAATGAGTCTGATGAGCGATTACAGCCGATTGAAGCTAATAAGGAACATAATTAATGCTTGAAGATACTTCATGGGCACAGATATTGCTTGTGTGTTTTCTGCCTGTTTGAAGAAAGTCCCCAAGTCAGAAAGGGACTAAGCTAGAAAGGCCACACTGTTCATCCCCGGTCCCGGAAGTTAGCCAGAAGAGCTTAAGGAAGAGGTCTCCAGACACCCTTGGCTCAGACCAGCAATGGTAAGCAGTGAGGCCATTTGACTAAATCCGCTGGGTAATCACTACAGAAAATGCGGCTGAGATTCCAAAAACGTCACCAGTGCTCAAGAGAGACTCATCACTATGAACTGTGACAACGCCACGGGATTCACTGGAGGTGAGCAAGAGAGAGCAGCTTCAGAGACCAGCTTCTTGAGTCGCCGGTCTTCTGGTCCCTTGCTTCTTGTAATGGTCTGCATCATATCCCATTCATTCACTAAAGTCTCTGCCCTAAGAGGGCATTTAGGGATAAATCTTTGGGAGTAATATATTGTTTTTTTTTATCAACTTATTCTTACTACAAACCTTACCACTTGAGTATTGTGGCCCTTCTTAGGTGGATCAGAAGTCACACCTAACCATGAGTTCTGGGTTGCAAAAGAGCATTGATTTTGCAAGTGACTATATCTTTCTTTTCTTTTTTAAGCCAGCTTAACACAAATACTTCCAACTGTATTGGAATTGAAATAATTGTCAGTGAAGTCACGGGGTGGGCTGGGTGCTAATGAGGCTAAAGTACTTCTAAGAAGAGACGTCAGATACTATGACACAGAGCTACCATGTGAGGACACCACAAGAAGGTGAGCATCTGCTAGTCAGGGCAAACGGCAGCTCTGCCCACGGATTTGCATCTCCAGAACTGTGGGGAAATAGTTTTGTTTAAGCCACGAAGCCTCCAGAACTGTTGCAGCAGCCTGGAAAGACTAAGGCACCACATTCATGTTCTCCAGCCTCACCAGGCTTCTCACACCGTCACCATACCTTACACCCACCCTCACTGTCCTTTGTCACCCCACACCACCCATCACTTCTTCTCTAGTGTCTTAGTTAGGGTTTCCATTGCTGTGATAAAACACCAGGACCAAAAGTAACTCGGGGAAGGAAGGGTTTATTTCAGCTTACAGTTACACATCACAGACCATCGTCTTAGAAAGTCAGGGCAGGAACTCAAGGCAGGAATCTAAGGCAGGAACCTGGAGGCAGGAACTGAAGCAGAGGCCATGGAGAAGTACTGTGTATTGGCTTTCTCCCTACGACTTGTTCAGCCTGCCTTTTTATATACAACCCAGGACCACCTGCCTTGCTCACAGTGGACTGCCCTCCATGCCATCAAACAAGGTGGATCTCGAGAAATGACACCTGAAGTTGACCCCTGACCTCCAAAAGCACATATACACATGTACACATTTACTCACACACATGAATGTACACCAACACACAAAAGCAGTCCATTTTTCTTTCTCTAGTATAACCAGTCTTGCAAACACTTTCCCCATGTCTTGGCCTTTTTGGTTCACCTGGGGCAGTAGTTCTTCCCTACCATGCCTGCACCTGTCCACTGGCTTCCTCTGCACCCCAGAAGCTCTCCATCTGCTTGTAGATACTGCTCAAGAACAAAAGGGTGTTGGTGGCCTCCTACCCCTCACAAGAAGGTAAATGGCAGCTGGTAAAGAGAAACTGAGCCTCCCTCCAGAGGGTGGAGGTGACTCTGAGGTAGACATACAAGATCCCTATGCATGCCCCCACCCCCCACCTCACGACTGAAGCATGTTTTCCAGCAGGAATGACTTGTGTTTAATGCACCTGCACAGTCCTCTTTCCTGGTCACTTTTTTTTTTCATTTTCCTTCTTTCTCACTTCTGTACTCACCACCTAAATAAACAGCCTGTGTGTGACCGCTGTTCCTGAGACCTGCAACACTCACTAGTCAGGCCTGTGAGGTGTCCAAGGGCTCCTACTCCCTCCAGGGGCTGGACATCCACAGACATCCAGAGAGAAGCAGGCCTATTCCTTAACTGGATTTTGCTTCTTGAAACATTCCTTGGAGGGAAAGCTCTGGTTTCTTCCCAGTCCACAAAGGACTGACAGACCTCTCTGTGTTGTGTACATTGTTGGTGTTTTTTGTTGCTCTGATGGTTTGGGCTAGTTTCTCCAGGAAAACTAGTCCTGTTCCAGGACTCATTACTAGCTAGAGAAGTGCTGGCCCATGAGTTCGCCTTCCCTATATAACACCCCTCCCCCCAGTTCTAAGCCTGGGATCCCAGCTGCTTCCTTCAGGGAACCTTCACATACTAATCCAATACTTCTCCTGCCCTACATCACAATGAAAGGTCCACCCAAAGCCCTCCCAGATGATCCAAGCCGTGTGACTCCAGCTGGGTGGGCCAAGCTTGCTCGAACCTTCTGCCTGTCTGCTTCACACATTCCCAGAAGCCACTGTAGGTTTCTGGCCACGCTTTCTGCATACCTCTCCTGCAGACTGACCAGCCTGGTCCTGCCCCATGTGGCCCTGCCTTGTCACTTGACTGTACCTGATCAACACAAACCTGACAGTCCCTTGACTATACCTGATCAACAGGAACCTGACACACTTAAAACGGTGCCACCTTTCTGGTTGACCTAAACCCAAGTCCAGTGGACACTGTGCCAGTTCTGTGGAGCTGAGGGCGCATACCCTCTGGGTGCACAGCCAGACCTCCTCTGAGCCTGGCTTTCCTTCACCTGCCAACCGAGGTGAACTCAACGGCCTTGGAGTTGTCAAGAGATACAAGAGAGAGAACACCAGGCGTGAAGCAAGCACTTTCAATTACAGGTTGTTTTCTTTACCGTATGCCATAGGTACAGCTGATTAGGGGCAGAGACTGATAAAAACCATCAACTCCAGATCTAATCATGAAGTCAGTGAGCTGCTGAACAGGGCACATGAACAAGTCTTTAAGAATTTTGTGACCAAGCACATCTGCATTTTCCCCGGTTCCCATGAGAATCTTCCTCTCATGGGTATTTCTCCCTACGCTTTCACGTCCTGGTTTCCTGAGCTCAATGCAAAGCATCAAGTTAATAAGTTAACTGCCAATTATTCAGACTCAGCAACAGTCTATAAAGTAATAAATCATTATTTCATTCAGCTGAAAAAAGTGATACCAGGAAGCAAAAAATAAATAAATACAATGACTGTCAAGGAAATAAGACAGGATTTACGGGAGGCCGCCCCCATAGCCACTCCTCTCCGTGTCTCTTTCGGGGGTGTTAATCTCCCATAAGTGGTTATTACCACATGAAACACATGGAGATTATTTCAATTAATTATGTTTGCCACATTGTTTCAAAAGATTATTCCACTATTTACTGGCAATTAAACAGGCTTTCATGTAAGTGTGCCGCCAGAGGGCATGTCGAGTGGGACGGTGGATAGAGTAATTGAAATTAAGTTTGGACTCCTAAGAAGCAGTCCTTTGGAAGTCAAGGGTCTCTGAGCAGCTCTGAGGTGATGCTTCCAAAGGATGAGAGAGGGTGAGCGAGCACACGAGCACACGTACCCTTTCTGAAGTCAGGCACGTTGCTCTTGCCTGAGGAGGAAAGAACCATTTCCAGGGTGTAAGGAGACAGGAAGAGGCAGGCTGCTGGCAAGGCTTGCTATGCTCACACTGGTGAAGGGCATGCTGCCCTGGAGGAAGGTTCAAGGTCACAGATCCTGTAAAGATCGTTTTGAAAAGTTGACACGTGGCAGAGGTTGAGTGTTGGACTTCATCTGGTCCTGGTTGACAGATGAAGACCGCTGGGGCATGCCTCCCAGTTCCAAGCGTTGTTTTGAGTGGGACGATTTCATGTGGAGGCCGGATGTTAAATTTCCAAGCAGTAGAGAGTTTTTCTCTACTTATCCCTCGCTTGATTCCACCACAATCAAGATGACTTTAATTCTGTAAAGGCTCAGCTACTTTTCTTGTTGTTTTGAGGAAACACATGATGAAAGCAGCTGAAGGAAGGAAGGTCTTATTCAGCTCACAGATGGAGGGCACAGTCCGCCATGGCAGGAGAGACCCGGCTTCTGGAGCTTGGAGTGGTGGTCATGTTGCTCTGCAGTCAGGGAGCGGAAAGAGATGAACTCTGGTGCTCAGATCACCTTCTAGTTTTCATTCAGTCCAGGAAAACAGGCCATGGGATGGTGCCGCCCATATTTAATATGGCCTCCACACCCCAGTTTCACCTAAGCTAAAAAGGCCCTCACAGAAAGGCCCAAAAGCTGTTTCCATGATGATACTCCCATCACGTTGACAATCAATACTGACTATTACAAGGCTCATGAGGCCTGTTTATGGACCAGCTTGGTAAGTGGTCCCTGTCCACTGCTGTTCCTTGTGGTCCTGTCCACTGCTGTTCCTTGTGGTCCTGTCCACTGCTGTTCCTTGTGGTCCTGTCCATTGTTATTACTTGTGGTCCTGTCCATTATGTTACTTGTGGTCCTCATCCATCGATGTTGGTTATGCTGTCTGGGGGTAACTGGGTCTATTTAGCTGCTCTGCTCAGATGTGTCTCCTTGCTTTTCACAAAAAAAAAAAATGTTCTTTTTATTACTTATTTATTGGGTGAGTGTCAGTCTCCCCACACACTGTGGTCAGGAATGTTCTCCTTCCTTTAAGTACTGTCCCTCCAGGTCTGTGTCCTCAGGAAATACACATATTCAAAACCATAATAACTTCCTGATTGACAAATTTGATACCACAGGATGTCTCTGTTTTTAGTGATGCTACTACCTCATGTGCTGTGTGGAATCTGCCACTGAGACATAACCTCACTGGGTGTTTTCAGTAGGATGGTCCCATTCTAGTCTGACCACCTTAATCCTCACGTACTGAAGCCCTGAGCCAATCCACAGAGTGTGTGCTGACGGGCACACCTGGTTTATATCTGCCATCTTCGCCTTTATTTTCGACTTTGCTCAGGTGTTTTATGTTCCCGTTTTCTCCTTTCTCCTGTTATTTGGGGTTAATCAAGTCTTTTATTACTTCTCCCTCTAACCCCCCTCTAAAACTTTGCTAGTTAGCAGATAATGAATGGTGCAACAAATCAAGGCTCCAAGAATGCTGCACTGAGGAGAGTTTCTACTGTTAAATCTGGGCATCGGAGAAGGAGGGAAGTTAACAAGCCAAAGATCTAAATTTCCATCTAAAGATAAAAAGAGAAATTAAATCAAATCCAAAAATAGAAGAGCAAAAGGAGAATAATAAAGAAATGAGGCAGAATCAATAAACCAGGGGAGAGCATGAAATAGAGAAAAAAATAATGCAGCTCAGGGTTAGTAGTGGATGTCAGGAAAAACAGCAAATTGGAAACCACAGTGCCCATGCTCCAGAAAAGTAAAGAGATGCTGTAAATACCTAGGGTTGACTCTTCACGACTCTGGACACATCCAGAACCCTATGGCAGTCAGGCGAACGTTCAAGAAGATCACACAATTTGCAGAGAAGTTTCTTTTTGCAGCAGGGGACTAGTACAGAGGTCCACACCTGATCAAAATGTGGAGAGCAAGTGAGGTACCGAGCCCCAGCCGACAGACCTGTGATGTGACCTCTACCCCCAAGTCTCAGGGAACATTGCGGAAGAGGGTGTGGAAAGACTGTCAGAGCCAGAGACCCACATGCCTGTGGCTAGACAGTAACCTCTCAACACGAGAAGGAAGCTACTACACCAAGAAATCTCTTCCCTATGTCTACCCTGAATAAGTGGTAATGACAAGGCCAGCTGACATGCCAACATGGTCAAGGAGAAATTCCATGTGCTCCCATCCCTAGATGCAGAGCTACAGACGGCCAAGGGCTACTGAGAGGGAGAATCAGCATTCTCCTGTGATGGGCTCCCTGGTAGGTTATTCAGCCCCTAATGGCCAGCCTTGGACACGTGTGTATATGAATGATTCTAAACACACTCAGTAGGTTGTGTATACATATATACACACATTTGTAACAATAATTATTAAACAAGTGGTCATGAATTGTGGAGGGGGCTCAGAGACACACAGAAAGAGTTGGGGTAGGGAAGGGGTGATACAGATGCTCTTTAGGAATCCATAATTTTACCATCAAAAAAAAAAAGCAGCAGTCATAGTTAGATCTTTACTGTTGTGATAAAACACCATGAACAAG